AAATATTAAAAGATAAATATCATATCATCTCCCAGGATTCTTTTCCCCAATCTAAATGTACCTCCAACACTCGCAGCTGTTCTTTACTGGTACAGGAAAAAAGATCCTTAAAAACTCAACCCAGAAGATATACATAGATGAGAACTCAGTTCAGAGGTTCGTGTCGGTTCTCTTCCCTCACCTCCCTGGCCAATGACCCATTCACCAGACGATGTGCATTCCTCTCCTCCTCCTCTTTGGCTGTTCAACCAGTTCCCTGGTGGGAACATGGGTTTGCCTCCTTAGACAAGGAGCCAACAAGCCAAGGAAGCATGGCAGGAAAGCCCATATTCCTGCTGGAGACTGGTCAAACAGCCAAAGAGAAGGAGGAGGTGTGTGTGTACCAGCTGGTGAATGGGGGATCCAGTTGGGGAGGTGGGGGAAAGGGACACATGACACCTATGCTGCCACAGATATTAACGGACAGGAACCTCGGTTTGGAACAATCTCTACTGAGAAACAGAGGACTCAAACTCTTGGGCAAACCTATCCTCCCTCCCCAACTACTGCAATCACAGTCTTCTCTAACGTTGTGTCTGTCTTCTACCCACCCATTCCAATATCTAAAACCACTCTTACAGCAAAACTAGTCTATCTTAGTTCCATGTAAAAGCATAATAATTGAGGAAGCCAGAAGAACCATGAACACTTTGAGGAATCATGGTGATCATGAAAAATATTCCTCTTTGATATACATGAGTTAATCTGGCTGGTACTACCTCTTTGTGTTCTGAAGAGCTGACCTCATGGTGAAGGCAACAATAATCAATGAGGAAAATAAATGAAGGGGTCAAGTCTGGAAATCATTTGGTGGAACTTTATTTACTAGTGGCTGGATTGTTCAATTATCTGGCTGCAGAACCAGGGGTTAGGAGTTTCAATTCCCACTATTCCTCTCCTGTGAGTAGAGCCGGCCTATGTGGCCTTGGGCAAGCTGCATAGTCCCAGGATGCCCCAGAAGAAGGGAAACCACTTCTGAGTAGTCTCTATCTAGAAAATCCTGGAAAGGGTGACTTGACAATGATGTACTAGGTTTCAGTCAGAAAAAACTCAGAGCAGTGCACTAGAATTAAACTCCACAAGTATAAAACAAAAATAGAGAATATGACTTAAGTCACAGGCATCCTTAAAAACAAACAGAAATAGGCAAACAATGATGGTGAGTCAGTTCATAACATTCAGTTTCCATTTACAAGACCCTGAAAAAGAGTTCAGGACAGAGCCACAAACACTGGTTTCTTTCTCAATGGCTCATATTGACTTCTATGGGACCTCAAAGAAAACAGATTAAAATCTGAGAATGCATATGACTTGATTCCCACTCCAGAGTAGCCTCAGCTGACCCAATTCATTTATCATTAAAACCCTGGCAGAACAGAATTGTTTTCACCATTCACGAAAAAGAGGCAAGTGAAGAGGACAAGACTGCCTTGTCAGCTGCAGAGAAGAACTGATTCTACACATTTACTCATATAATTTCTACTGGGAGCCACACTCAGAGGACAACAACTTCTGAAAACATTAACTGGAAAGCAGTACAATTTGGGAGTAACATTATCATTTATCATCATCATCATCTCAGAACTGCAGACCTGGAAGGCCCCTATGGATCATGAGTCCAGTCCCTGCCAAGGAGGCACAGTGGGGAATCAAACTCCCAACCTGTGACTCCACATCCAGATCCTTAAACCACTGAGCCATCCAGCCTCTAGTCACCCTGACCCAACATGTACAAAACCTACACTGTGAAAGGGGTTCTAAAAGACAGAACAGCAGCACTGGGGACTATCAGCTTTGACATCTTTACCATCCACTGGATACGTTACAGCTTGCTGACATCTTTCTTAAGTCAGGGTGTTCAAAACTGAACACAGCTTTCCAAGCAGTGTCTGCTTTGGTCAGGCATCACCTGATGTACTCTACAGTATTTAATTCTGGACATCACAGTTTGCAAGGGATATAGACAAGTCAGATTTTTTTTTTTTCATAGAAAGACAACAGAGATGGTAACATGTCTGGAAAACAGGCCCTATGAGGAATGTTCAAAGGAGTTGGGTATGCCAAACAGGGTGGAGAGAAGACACAAAGGTGGCAGGGTAGATGGGTTGTGACACCTGAAGGGCTGATACTTGCAAGATGAAGCAAATTTGTCTTCTGTAGACTCCAGAGGATCGGACTCAAAGCAATGGGTTCCAATTATTAGGATAGAGATTCCAACAAAACATTACAAGGGAACTCCTGACAGGAAGAACGTTTCATGGTGGAACCAATTATCTCAGAGAGCAGTGAAGTCCTCTTTGTTGAAGATTTTCAAACCAAGGTCATCTGTCAAGGATGCCTTAGTCGTAAGTTGCTTTACTAGCAGGGGAATTTCTCTTCTGTCTGATGAGACAGACTTATCCACGAAAGCTCACATTAAAAATATAAAAGTTAGTCTTCAAAGTGCCAAAATATTTTTTGTCTTTTTTAACTTTTTATTTCTATTTTGCCTTTACCTATATAGCAGGGGATTGTACCTGATGAGCCTTATGTTATGTGCTACTCTACAGTTCTATGATTACATAAATATCTGGTCCTCCATATGTTGTTGGACTACAACTCTCATCTGCTCTAGCCATTGCAGACAAAGGTAAGCAGTATGGACAAGTCAACATCTGGAAAGCTACATACTGCCATATTATGGCAAGGGTACAGGATGGTTGACCCAACTAATTTAATACAATTCAATGCTGTCTGATAGCTCAATGGTTTAGGCATCCGGCTGTGGAACCTGAGGTTGGGAATTCAATTCTCCACTGTGCTTCCTTAACAGGGGCTGAGCTCAGTAATCCATAAGGTCTCTTCCAGCGCTCCAGTTCTAAGATTATGATTATTAAGAGATGAGATTACAGAGAGATGATTTATCAGTTGGCTCCCACCACACTCCAAAAACTTTTCAGATTTTTCTATTTGAGAAAGTAGAATGCACCATCATGATTTAAAGTCAAGGAATGCCACATTCCATTTTTAAATCTCATTCAGCATCATGATTTAGGGGGACCTAGTCTGTGGTGGCACTGTGGGTTAAACTGCTGAAGCCTCTGTGCTGCAAGGCCAGAAGACCTGCAGTCGCAAGATCGAATCCACGCAATGGAGTGAGCTCCCGCCGTTTATCCCAGCTCCCGCCAACCTAGCAGTTTGAAAGCATGCAAAAATGCAAGTAGATAAATAGGTACCACCTCGGTAGGAAGGTAAGCACTGTTCCGTGTCTAGTCACGCTGGCCACGTGACCATGGAGGATTGTCTGCGGACAAACGCTAGCTCTATGGGTTGGAAACAGATATGACCACCTAGAGTCAGACACGACTGGAAAAAATTGTCAAAAGTCTGTGATTCTAAATTTTTATCCAGGTTTTTCATCTCATCAGCTATTACCAATAACAGCCATTTCACACTCAATGCCAAATATTAATTATATGACAATTACCTGTGTTCCTCCAGTCAATCATACATGTGTAATGACCCCTGGAGTAGTAAAGAAGATTCCACCTGTATGCAAAAACCTTCAAAATTACTTCTTAGTTACACCTTCCACTTGACCTAGTTCAATGATCAGAAAAATTGGTCCCTGTTTCTTGTAGCATTACTAGTGTAAGTTTTTAAATACCAAGAAAACTGTACCTTTTAAAACATGACAAAAAATAAAGTAACTGGATATTGCTGAACTAAATTAAAAAATGAAGATTTTGTCAATTGGTAATAAAATCTCTATTTATGGGAAAGATTTTTCTCTTCTTCAGCCGTTTCACTGGACTGGTAATGAAGACTGGTATATTTAATGCACCACCATCTTTTTAAAGATGTCTTTAAATTTAGATCGCAGCTGAAACATACATCAGCAGATGGGCGACTTTTTCCTCAAATGTCAGAAATTCAGAACCAGGAAGCATAGGATGCTTCCCTTTCTTTAAATAAATGTGGGGCAGAGCTTCCCCAAGTGTAAACATGAATAAGGAATCTGCTACTGTTTAACTCCTCTAATGCAACTTTGCACATTTTGTGATCACTAACAATTGCACCAAAATACCAACACAATGTTGAAGTATTGAGAAAATATTAACAAAATATTGAGAGTTATTGTATCAAGGGAAAAACCCTATCCATTATATAGCATTTATTCTGGGAGAAGAGTAGTGTTTAGTTTTCTAAAAACAGTATACTGGGTTCATTTCTTCATTTTAACACTGGGTTACACACAGAGCTCCAAATGCATGTATCTAGAATCCTAGCTTTCAGTTAAAACTGCAAATATCAAAGCACTTATTTTAAAGTATCCTCCATCAGTTTTTAGAAACATGCAAACAGCAAATGGACCAACTGAATATCAGGTTCAAATAGGTACCTAAGTTCAAAGTAACAAGACAGGAGACAACTCATTATCTTTTATTTCCATTTCAACAGAATCAAGCTTTTGCCTCTTCCACATTGGGGCTTCAGTTATTTAATCCTCAAACAAAGCCACTTTTAATTTAAAATACTTTCATTGAAACACACACACACACACCACTCACTGCACCGGTCCTCATACTCTCAGAGTGCAAGGCAAACCCTGCAAAACGTCTTGGTGGCTAAAACCAGACTCAAAACAAGCACATTATTTTTCTAAGATACACACAAGGAGACAGGTATAAGAAGTAAAGGCTGGTAGGCTTCGTCGTTTTGCAAATTCCACTGTGTACTAACAGTGTCTCCAATCACTTTTATCGAAACATTTTTAAAAAACAGTTACAACTAGGCTATAAGGAGAGAGGGTTTATCCTTAAAAAACCAACCAAGCACAGCAAACCCTAGGAATGCAAAACAGGAGTTGCCTTCTAAAGAAATAAATAAAAGGGAAGACTATTCTGGGCAACAAAAGAAGCTAGAGAGCAATACCTGGCATCAGGTTATCTTCAGAGAGAAGCCTTTCTATATTCCCTTACCTGCTATGGAGGAAGCCAAGGAAAGTGGCACAAACAGCAGCAGTGGCGGCAGCAGCAGCGGGGGACCTGTCCAAAGCACCAGGTGCCGGGCAATGCACCAAGGTGGACCGTGGCAACAGAACACCAGCGTGACCAAGGCAACCATGAAGCATGTCATCCCATCCATGGCAAAGCCAAGCATCAAGTCATCAACATCATCTCAACCACTGCCACCACCGACATCCCCCCCAAAAGAAAGAAGAGCAGCTGGGCCGGTTTTCTGCTTCCTCTTCAGAGCCTCCAACACCAGGAGGCAGGCAGGCAGGCAGCAACCAAAGGCATGGGGAGGGGGTGTCCGCCAGTGCCCCCCCTCCCCGGTGCTCAAACCCGAGCCTGATTCCCCCAAAGCTGTAAAAGATTCAGAGGACCAGGAGCAGCGGTGGCGTAGCTGGCAGAAGCTGGAGAATGAATGGCTAGCCCGCCTTCGGAAAAGAGCTGGAGGGAGGATTCAAAGTGAGGAAAGGCGAGAGGCTGAAAGTGAGAGCCTATGCCATGGAGATGGCACTGAGAAGGAACGGGGGAGGAGGGGGGGAGAGGCCAAAGGGTGAAATAAAGTGAAAGGGGGACAGAGAGATCCTCTTATCGCAGAAAGACTGGAGTATCCCGTTTCATGGAGATGCTGTGGGAGGCTAGGGCTGGGGAAAGCGTGGGAGGGAAGGCGCGTGGGAGGGAGCCGGAGCAAAATTGCAATTGCTAAAGGAAAAGAGAGAGAGAGAAAAGGGTACCCAGCCCGGAGCGAGGGAAGGGTGGGGGAGACGCAGGGCCG